GCCCTGCTCTCTTAACCAATGCCCCCCCTTTTCCTCCAGCATTTCCCCTTCAATTAAAGGAGCGCTTCCCAACCCTCTCTCCATTCCCAATAAGTGAAAAAGGCAAGACAAGGAGGAGGAGGAAGGCAGGAAAGGGGGAAAAGAGGCAGGACTGGAAGTGGAAGCGTCCTCCCTCCTTCCCTCTGTGATTTCCACACTCTTCTGCATGCAGACCCTGCTGGGTCCCGAGGCGTTGCCTTGCCTTAAATCTTTGAGTCCCTGTTGTTAGTATTCTAGGTGTCTAGCGCCGCATCGGACGGGTAACGGGAGACTCCATATTATCCGACATTTTCGTTTATCCGACATTCTGCCAGCCCGTTCATGTCGGATAAGCGAGACTCTACTGTAGTAATAATAAGAGTAATAATCTTTATTTATACCCCGCCCCCTCTTTCCGGAGGGATTGAGGCAGCTTACAGCAATATGTATTCGGTCTGCACTGCAATTCCCAGCATGCTGGATGAGAGAGAGTTCTGTGACTTCCAGTCCAAGCAGAAAATACTTTGCATCCCACCTCCATCTCAGACCTGCCTCTCCCACTTCGGCCTCTCCACCCCAGAGACGGCTGTCCAGAGCGACAGGCCTGGGAGCCGGTGCCTCGTTCTGTGCCTCCTGGCACGCCTGAGAGCAAATATTGATCTGCGGTTAAATATTGAATAAATGTGTTTACCCAGCTCCTCCTCCTCCTCCTCCCTCCGTTGATGCCTGGCGGGTGCTGCTAATGAGAGGCACCCGAGGGAGTATCCCCTTTCCTGGTTGGGGGGCAGCCAAGAACCTTGTGGGAAATGGACCCACGGGATGGGGGCATCAATGCCAGTGTCCCTCGTGGGACAAGGCTTCGCTAGAACTTCAGAGCCGGTTGGCAGAGAAGGGTCTTTCCTGCTTGGGAAAGGGTCCTCCTCTTTCCTTGGAGACACTGGCATGCCTTTGCTTTACCTGTCCTGACTCTTCTCTGTGTCTTTGGTCTATCTCTTCCATACCAGAATGGGATGATTTCCCTTTCTAATTGCAATATCCATCACTAGTTTCCCACATTTTCCCAAATGTGCCCACATTTGTGCCAGACTGCCCTTGGAGAGCCCAAGTTAGGAGCCCAAAGGGAAAGGTTGTTGCTCTGTCCTGGACCTCGGGATGTTTCCACGTTTTCCTGGGGGTCCTGCTTGGCACTGAACCCTGACCAGCTCTCTCTTGCCCCGCAGGGTTCCTGAGCACGGGCGACCAGGCCGCCAAGGGAAACTATGGGCTGCTGGACCAGATCCAGGCCTTGCGCTGGATCAGCGAAAACATCGCCTTCTTTGGGGGGGACCCCTTGCGCATCACCGTCTTCGGCTCCGGCATCGGTGCCTCCTGCGTCAGCTTGCTCACCCTCTCCCATCACTCTGAAGGTAATGCCACATCCCCTCTGAAGGGGAAGCACAGATTGGAAATGTTACGTTGTGGGGTCCCACACCCCCTGCCCCAAATAAGTCATATTTCCCATTGGGGTTGAGGGCAAAACTAAGCAGCTTGGTCCTATAATTGCCAAACATCTTGGTACATCCCATGGGTTTAGTGCTCTCTTTATATGTGCCTCGGAAACGGAGTCCCGCAGAGGTCATTACAGGATGCAAGAGCACTTCTGGTGGGACTCAGTTTCTGCAGATCATGGAAATGGAGCCCTAAAGCAGCAGAAAGCAGAGGAAGGCGGACCTCGGTGCAGAAAGGAGGTGGGATGGCTGGCCATCTCAGAAGACAGGGAAAGGCAGGAGGGAACAGGGTAAGACGCTTTCCCCTGTTTTCCCTTCACTCATGGGATGAAGTCCTTGGTCTCTACAAAAACCAAAGAAGGGGCAAAGTTTCTGTAAATTTTTGAAGAGAGTCTCTTTTCACACAGTCGTATTAGTTCAGCATTTGTGTGTGTGTGTGTGTGTGTGTGTGTACACACGTAAAGTAAAGGTAAAGGTTTCCGCTTTAAGTCTAGTCATGTCCAGCTCTGGGGGTTGGTACTCATCTCCATTTCTAAGCCGAAGAGCCAGCGTTGTCAGTAGGTGCCTCCAAGGTCATGTGGCTGGTATGGCTGCACGGTGCACCATTACCTTTCCACTGGAGAAGTGCCTATTGATCTACTCACATTTGCATGTTTTTGAACTGCTAGACTGGCAGAAGCTGGGGCTAATAGCGGAAACTCACCCGCTATTAAAAATAAAGTTATTATTAAAGGTAAAGTTAAAGGTAGTCATATCCAACTGGGGGGTGGTGCTCATCTCCATTTCTAAGCTGAATAGTAGACACCTCCAAGGTCATGTGGCTGTCATGACTGCATGGAGCACTGTTACCTTCTTAAAGAATCAGAATCTATTGATCTCACATTTGCATGTTTTCAAACTGCTAGGTTGGCAGAAGCTGGGGCTAACAGTGGGAGCTTACCCCACTTCCCGGATCTGAACCACCAATCTTTCAGTCAGTAAGTTCAGCAGCTCAGTGGTTTAACCCGCTGCACAACCATATTAATACCTTTTTACAAAGCAAATGGTTGGGATCCTGTTGGTGCCTGCCCAGCAACAGAGGCTTTTGGTACATGTTGCTTCAGCAGAGTTCTCCAAATGTCCGCCTCTCACTTGGGCCACAGTTCTGTTCCCAGTTCTAACTGAAGGAGGGCCAGTTAATCAGTTGGGATGGCCTTTATTCAATGTGTCTGCTCTAACTGGAAAAGAGTCCAGTCCCTGAATGCTGTCAGTGGCATCTGCCGCACAGCAAGGCAGGAACACAATCACAGCCACTTTAGGCTATAAACTACTTTATTTTGCAGCTATATACATTAGAAGCTACTTAACACTCAGCACATTGTAAAACTTACTTCTCACCATCCGATAGTAACACTGCGAACACATGAACTGCTGTTATCAGTACTAGTCCACACCTCTTGCATTCCAGAGTGCTGCCTCCATTAGTTCTATACCCTTATTTATGACCTCTCTAGGAATGCTGTTCCCTCCATGGTTCTATTAACTCTTTCCACACAGGAATACACTCGGCACATAGCTATTGCATTTTAATCATACATACATACATACTTTGAAATCTACATTATAAATTACAAACATCTTCAACAAATGCTGGGTCAAGATTTGTCAGTGGTTTTGATATCAAAATGGTTTGTTGCCATTGCAGAATTACCGTAGTTCCTGTGTGTTAGTATTCCCCATTGCACAAGGAGTAAGTGTCGATGTCAGCAGTGAGTGTTCAATGAGGGCTCTGGAAAATTGAGGTTTGATCTGTGCTCTGTCTGGAGACCTTGGGCTCACTCTCTCAGCCCAAGGAGACTACCATGGCAACCCTCGGTGGTAGACTTGCCACAGGGCGGTGTGGGAATGAAGGCATGCGGTGGTCTTTCGCCTTCCATTCTGCAACTGGCACCTTGAGGAAGGAGAGAGCGCATTTTGCTTCCAAGGCATCATTGCGCAGCAGCAGAGACGTGCCTGTTTGCAGAACGCATACATGGAAACGGGGCGAAATGAGCGAGAGGGGGCCATGCGTGGCAGGGGCAGGCGCTGCCATTAATCAAGGGCCTCTCTCGCCTTGAATGCTGCGAAGGGAAGGCAGGGGCGCATGCATGGTGCTTGGAAACGCTGGGCACTCGTTGCATCCAGGCGCATTCTCTCTCCATTCTGCATTAAGATTCCCCCTGGATCTTGGTCTTTGAGAGGGAGGCCTCTCGTGCCTCTCGTGCCTCCCTCCCAAGAGATGTTCATTAACCAGTGAGCGAGTGAGCGCACACTCATGCGCTGGTTCTCTCTTGCGGCTGCCTGTCTCTCTCTCTCTCCTGCTCCACATCCCTCCCCTCCTTTCTTTGCTGCTGCTGCTACTGCTGTGCAGCCTATAAAAAGCTCCCGGCTCAAGAAGCCGGAGACTGACTTGCCAGCAAATGAAGCTGGCAGGAACATGCAGGGCTGCAGCCACCCCCTCAGGGACAGACCGGCGCATAAACAGGCCTCTTCGGAGGCAGCCAGGAGAGGAAGGGAGAGAGGGAGGGATTGGGTTGGAAAGGAGGCAGATCTACTAATAAAGGGCAGCCGGCCCCTGGGACTTTGCGGGGAAGGCAGCAGGACCGGCTGGCTTTCCGCTACTGCTAGCTTCTGTTCCTGCTGTTATGTGCCTTGGTACTTCCAAGGCTGAGAAAGTGTGACTTGCTCAAAGTCCATGGCTGAGCTGGACTGAAGACCGACACGTCGGAGGTTCAAATCCGGGGAGAGCGCGGATGAGCTCCCTCTGTCAGCTCCAGCTCCCCATGTGGGGACACGAAAAAAGCCTCCCACAAGGATGATAAAACATCAAAACATCCAAGCATCCCCTGGGCAACATCCTTGCAGATGGCCAATTCTCTCACACTAGAAGCGACTCGCAGTTTCTCAAGTCACTCCTGACACACACACACACACACACACACACAAAAGAAGCAAAGTTCCTGCTGTTATGTGCCTTGGTTCTTCCAAGGCTGAGAAAGTATGAGTTGCTCAAAGTCCATGGCTGAGCCTGGACTGAAGACCGACACGTCGGAGGTTCAAATACGGGGAGAGCGCGGATGAGCTGCCTCTGTCAGCTCCAGCTCCCCATGTGGGGACACGAAAAAAGCCTCCCACAAGGATGATAAAACATCAAAACATCCAAGCATCCTCTGGGCAACGTCCTTGCAGATGGCCAATTCTCTCACACTAGAAGCGATTCGCAGTTTCTCAAGTCACTCCTGACACACACACACACACACACACACAAAAGAAGCAAAGTTCCTGCTGTTATGTGCCTTGGTTCTTCCAAGGCTGAGAAAGTGTGACTTGCTCAAAGTCCATGGCTGAGCCTGGACTGAAGACCGACACGTCGGAGGTTCAAATCCGGGGAGAGCGCGGATGAGCTCCCTCTGTCAGCTCCAGCTCCCCATGTGGGGACACGAAAAAAGCCTCCCACAAGGATGATAAAACATCAAAACATCCAATTGGAGACTAGGACGCAATGGAACAATGGCTTCAAACTACAAGAGAGGCGATTCCATCTGAACATGAGGAAGAACTTCCTGACTGTGAGAGCCGTTCAGCAGTGGAACTCTCTGCCCCGGAGTGTGGTGGAGGCTCCTTCTTTGGAAGCTTTTAAACAGAGGCTGGATGGCCATCTGTCAGGGGTGATTTGAATGCAATATTCCTGCTTTTTGGCAGAGGGTTGGACTGGATGGCCCATGAGGTCTCTTCCAACTCTTTGATTCTATGATTCTATGATTCTAATACACCAAAACATGGCCCAAAGATCAAAATACAACCTAAGTAGAATGCAAATCCAAAACTCATGGTTCAAAACTGACTAGGTAGTAATGCACTCATCATCATCCTCATCTCTCAGACAAGACCCCGAATCCCTTGGATTTAGGGTGCCATTTTCAAACCATTTTTCACCCCCAAAACCATGCCAAAATAGCCAAAATACTGCATTTCGATTTTCAATCTGCATTGTTTCCTCCTCCGTTTGACTGTATGTTAGGCCAGACTGGGAATGGAAGCTACACGACACGACATTACTTTTGGAAAATACATTGGAAAATATTATGCAGTGAAGCATCTTTCCCCGGGGGATGTTTCCCAGCTCCAAAATAAACCTTTCTGATACAAAGGGGACTTTTGGGAGGGGGTCAAGGAGGGCAAGAAGACCCTCACCAAGAGGCCAAGGTCAGAGCCCAAAGATGTACTTCTCCTGAGGAAGAGAAGCGCACCGGAAACGCCAAGGAGGGTGCGTGACCGGGATGTGCTCTCATTGAGAGGCACAGGGCTGTCGGTGCCAAATCCGCCATCATTGCTGGGGATGAGTCACTTTCCAGGCAGGCAGAGATGTGCGAGTGTATGCATTTGCCCATCTTTCTTCTCTAAATGCAGCCAGGCCTTTCAAACCCAGAACTCAGGTTCCCAGTTGCCACCATCCTTTGCCAGCTAGAATCATGGGAAGGCTGGGAAGAGTGCATTTAGGGACAAAAAGGGGAGACCCTGATGTTCAATCAGTGTGTCTTTATTGGGCATTGCAGTTAAATGAAGAAACAATATCATACGAAAGCTGACTGGCACAACCTGGGGATCACAACCAGACACAGTGAAGACATCTGCCCTTGCGCTATGCTACTCTGCTGCTGAGTATGCATGCCCAGTGTGGAACACATCTCACCACACTAAAACAGTGGATGTGGCTCTTAATGAGACATGCTGCATTATTACGGGGTGTCTGCGCCCTACACCACTGGAGAAATTACACTGTTTAGCACCACCTGACATCCGCCGGGAAGTAGCAGCAGAGACATCTCCAGCTCAACCCCTGTTTGGGTATCAGCCAGCACGTCAACGACTTAAATCTAGAAATGGTTTTCTAAGATCTACGGAGACACTCGCTGGAACACCTCAGCAAGCGAGAGTCCAAAAGTGGCAGGCTCCAACCCAGAACCTCAACCAATGGCTGATACCAAATGAGAGACTCCCCCCTGGGCACACAGAAGACTGGGCGACTTGGACGGCGCTGAACAGACTGCGCTCTGGCACCACGAGATGCAGAGCCAACCTTCAGAAATGGGGCCACAAAGTGGAATCCACGACATGCGAGTGTGGAGAAGAGCAAACCACTGACCACCTGCTGCAATGCAACCTGAGCCCTGCCACATGCACAATGGAGGACCTTCTTGCAGCAACACCAGAGCACTCCAAGTGGCCAGATACTGGTCAAAGGACATTTAATCAACTACAAAGCTTGCAAATTTTGTGTTTCGTCTGTTTGTTTGTTTGTTTGTTCTGTTCTGTTAGAAATGTAATACAATTGACTGGTTGCCCTGACACGACAAATAATTGCAGTTAAAACTTGTGCGCCAGCTGCAACTGTACCTCAAGAGGTCTGACTTGGCCATAGTGGTCCATGCCTTAGTTACCTCAAGATTAGACTACTGCAATGCACTCTATGTAGGGCTGCCCTTGAAGACGGTTCGGAAACTACAGCTGCTGCAAAGGTCGGCGGCCAAATTGTTAACTGGAGCAAGTTACAGGGAGCGGTCAACCCTCCTGTTTAAACAGCTCCACTGACTGCCGATAAGTTTCCGGTCCCAATACAAGGTGCAGGTTATCACCTATAAAGCTCTTAATGGTTCAGGACCTGCCTATCTGCGTGACCGCCTCCTCCCTTAAGATCTTCCGGGGATGCTCTTCTCTCGTTCCTGTTTCCGTCTCAGGCACGGTTGGTGGGGACGAGAGAGGGGCATTCTCTGTGGTGGCCCCCCATCTCTGGAACTCCCTCCCCAGGGAGATTAGGCTGGCACCCTCCCTAGCCACGTTCCATAAGGAATTAAAGACAAGGGTGTTTTGTCATGCTTTCGATTGACGACTCCTATGACAAACGGCCTGTATCATGATCTGAATCGTCATTTACCGTATATACTTGAGTATAAGCCGACCCAAATATAAGCCGAGGGACCTAAATTTACCACAAAAAACTGGAAAAACGTATTGACTCGAGTATAAGCCGAGGGTGAGAAATGTGACAGCTACTGGTAATCGTCCGTAGGTTAAATGTTTTTGAGTATTTACACGAAACTGTAATTTAAGATAAGACTGCCCAACTCTGATTCAACTATTATTCTAACCTCCTTCAATATCAATGTGCTTACCTATTACCTACAGTGATAGAATAAAATAATAAATATAATAACATGTAACAAAAAATAATAATAGAGTAAATAATGGAAATTTAATAATAATAATAATAATAGTAATAGTAATAATAATAAAGTAATGAATGTTATAATAACAATAATAGAGTAAAATAATGAATGCAATAAATATAATAATACAATAAAATAATGTAAATACATCACACAGTCCTAGACACTTGGGAAGTGTCCACCGTGTGATCCAACACAACAGCCAGCAGAGTGTCTCCTATAGACTAATAATAATAATAATAATAATAATAATAATAATAATAATGTGATGATGATGATGATCTGGGGAGCGGGGTGAGGTCCTGCCACTAGCCCCAGCTTCTGCCAACTTAGCTGTTTGAAAACATGAAAATGTGAGTAGATCAATAGGGAAGGTAACAACGCTTCATTAAGTCATGCCGACCACATGACCTTGGAGGCGTCTACGGACAGCGCCAGCTCTTAAAAATGGAGATGAGCACCAACCCCCAGAGTTGGATATGACTAGACTTAACGTCAAGGGGAAACCTTTCATAACAACAACAATACTGCATAACAAAATTTGAAAAACATTCCTGGTTTGAAAGTGTTATTTCCTGTTTCATTGTGCAGCACGTTCTTTGAAAGTAGTTTTTCTACTCCAGAAACTTCATTTTTGTGGCTGCCACAAACTCTGTTGAATGGTTTGAGACTCAATGAGATATTCATTGAAAAACGATAGCAAAATGTGCTGCAGGATGTCCCACAAAAAGCAATAATAAACAATAATAATAATTAAAGTTTAACAAACTTTGTCCATGTTTTTACGCTAGAACCAATTAGGACAGTGGTTCTCAACCTCCCTAATGCCACGACCCCTTAGTATAGGTCTTTATGTTGTGGTGACCCCCAATCATAACATTATTTTCATTACTACTTCATAACTGTAATTTTGCAACTCTTATGAATCATAATGTAAATATCTGATATGCAGGATGTATTTTCAGTCACTGGACCAAATTTGGCACAAATACCCAATACGCCCAAATTTGAATACTGGTGGGGTTGGAGGTGATTGATTTTGTCATTTGGTAATGCTGGAGTTGCTGGGATTTATAGTTCACCTAAAATCAAAGAGTCTTCTGAACTCCACCAATGATGGAATTGAATCAAACTTGGCACACAGAATTCCCATGACCAAGAAAAATACTGGGAAGGTCTGGTGGACACTGACCTTGAGTTTTTGGAGTTGTAGTTCACCTACATCCAGAGAACACTGTGGACTCAAGCAGTGATGGATCTGGATCAAACTTGGCACAAATACTCAATATGCCCAAATGTGAACACTGGTAGAGTTTGGAGAAAATAGACCTTGCCATTTGGGAGTTGTAGTTGTTGGGATTTATAGTTCACCCACAATGATATAGCATTCTGAACCCCATCACCGATAGAATTGGACCAAACTTTCCACACAGAACCCCCATGACCAACAGAAAATACTATGTTTTCTGATGGTCTTTGGCGACCCCTCTAAAAACCCCTTGCGACCCCCACAGGGGTCCCGACCCCCAGGTTGAGAAACAATTAGGAAATAACACTGATAACCCAGGAACAAAAATTGTGTTACATAGCGTAATAGGAAGCAAAAAAAGGTCGGCCAGGTGTGCCTTGGTGAAAAGGGGCTTTGTAGTTTGGGCAATTGGGGAGAGAGGGCAATTGAGGGCAAAAGGGACTCCGGATCTGCATCCCGGCATCATTTTGCCCATCCAAAGAGGAGGGGGGAAGGGAGAAGAGCAGGACTGGCCCCGATCCTCGCTCTTGCAAGGACCGAGGCAAAGGAAGCCCCCTTCCCGGCGGCCTCAGCTGCGTTTCCTGGGACCCTTTTGTATTCGGAGCCCTGCGGAGGAGAAGGGTCTTGGCGCCCGGCCCAGCCTTCCCCTGCCAGCCCCACGGCCTTTGTGGCCCGCTTCCTCGGCCCGGCCTTCTGGTGTTCCTTCCAGCAGAAAGGCCCCTTTGTGCCATGGAGGGGGATGCGCCGCTCAGCCGAGACGCCGTTGGCACAAAGCGGGGCCCAGCTGGGCAGGAAGTGAAGGCTGCTGCCGCTCTCCCTGGCATTGCCCTGCGAAGGGTTAACTGGGAAGGGGCTTCAGCCACAGGATGCTGCCCAGTTCAAGGCAGAGGCCACACTCTGGCCTTGCTTGGCCATTGCTCTTGCTGGCACCACAGCAATGCATGTGCATGCATTCACAAAGAGAAGTTGATGCTAATACTATCAGCTTCAAATTCCCAGCACTGCATTGAGGAGCTGGGAAAAAGAAGAAGCCAATTGGGAGGGATAACCAATACTCCAGAGGAGCAGGATTCAAAACAATCTTGACAGATTAGAGAGAGGGGCCAAAACTAACAAAACGAAGTTCAACGGGGACAAATGCAAGATATTGTCGAAGGCTTTCATGGCCGGAATCACTGGGTTGTTGTAGGTTTTTCCGGGCTATATGGCCATGTTCTGGAGGCAATTTTTCTCCTGACGTTTCGCCTGCATCTATGGCAAGCATCCTCAGGATGCTTGCCATAGATGGAGGCGAAATGTCAGGAGAAAAATTGCCTCCAGAACATGGCCATATAGCCCGGAAAAACCTACAACAACCCAAATGCAAGATACTCCACTTAGGGAGAAAAAACGAAATGGATTAATAAGTTATTTTGCTACTGTTATGAATCATAATGTAAATATCTAATATGCAGGATGTATTTTCATTCACTGGATCACATTTGGCACAAATACACAATATGCCCAAATTTGAATACTGGTAGGGTTGGGGGAGATTGATTTTGTCATTTGGGAGTTGTAGTTGCTGGGATTTATAGTTCACCTACAATCAAAGAGCATTCTGAACTCCACCAACAATAGAATTGAACTAAGCTTGGCACACAGAACTCCCATGACCAACAGAAAATACTAGAAGAGTTTGCTGGGCATTGACCTTGAGTTTGGGAGTTGTAGTTCACCTATCTCCAAACAGCACTGTGGACTCAATGATAGATCTGGACCAAACTTGGCACAGATACTCAATATGCCCAAATGTGAACACTGGTGGAGTTTGGGGAAAATAGACCTTGTCATTTGGGAGTTGTAGTTGCTGGGATTTATAGTTCACCTACAATCAAAGAGGGCCCCCGGTGGCTTAGTGGGTTAAAGCACTGAGCTGCTGAGCTTGTTGATAGAAAGGTCGCAGGTTCGATTCCGGGGAGCGGCGTGAGCTTCCGCTGTCAGCCCTAGCTTCTGCCAACCTAGCAGTTCGAAAAACATGCAAATGTGAGTAGATCAATAGGTACCGCTCCGGCGGGAAGGTAACGGCGCTCCATGCAGTCATGCCGGCCACATGACCTTGGAGGTGTCTACGGACAACGCTGGCTCTTCGGCTTAGAAATGGAGATGAGCACCACACCCCAGAGTCAGACATGACTGGACTTAATGTCAGGGGACAACCTTTACCTATATCTCTGTGTGTGAATCATATGTATAGAATTGGCCCAGACTTCCCACACAGAACCCCCATGCCCAATAGAAAATACTGTGTTTCCTGATGGTCTTTGGCGACCCCAGTGATATCCCCTTGCAACTCCCCAGGGGTCCCGACCCCCACGTTGAGAAACATTGTGCTAATTTCTGGTGTTGCTTGTGTCCTGCTCTCCATTCCAGGTCTCTTCCAGAGAGCCATCATCCAGAGCGGCTCGGCACTCTCCAGCTGGGCTGTCAACTATCAGCCGGTGAAGTACACTAGCTTGCTGGCCGACAAGGTGGGCTGCAACGTGCTGGATACGGTGGACATGGTGGATTGCCTGCGGCAGAAGACAGCCAAGGAACTGGTGGAGCAAGACATCCAGCCGGCCCGCTACCATGTGGCCTTTGGGCCAGTCATCGATGGGGATGTTATCCCTGACGACCCAGAGATCCTGATGGAGCAGGGTGAGTTCCTCAACTACGACATCATGCTGGGCGTCAACCAGGGTGAGGGCCTCAAGTTCGTGGAGGGGGTAGTGGACCCCGAGGATGGGGTCTCCGGCAGCGACTTTGACTACTCCGTCTCCAACTTCGTGGACAACTTGTACGGCTACCCGGAGGGGAAAGACACGTTGCGCGAGACCATCAAGTTCATGTACACGGACTGGGCCGATCGGGACAACCCAGAGACACGCCGCAAGACCCTAGTGGCCCTCTTTACAGACCACCAGTGGGTGGAGCCCTCAGTGGTGACCGCCGACCTCCACGCCCGTTACGGCTCGCCCACCTACTTCTACGCCTTCTACCACCACTGCCAGAGCCTGATGAAGCCGGCCTGGTCGGACGCGGCCCATGGGGATGAGGTGCCTTACGTCTTCGGGATCCCCATGATCGGCCCCACTGACCTCTTCCCCTGCAACTTCTCTAAGAACGACGTCATGCTCAGTGCCGTGGTCATGACCTACTGGACGAACTTTGCCAAAACCGGGTAGGTCTCTTCCAGCTGGTGTGAATGGGGAACATGGGGATACTCCTGTGGGTTTTCAGGGCTGCGGGTGTGGATGTCTTCAAGCTCCTCTGCTCATCAGATCTCTCCACCAGACAAAGAGTAGGCAGGGTGGTGCTCTCCATATTTTGGACTGCAACATCCTTGAGTCTTGGCTACATCAGTTGACAATCATGGGGCCCCTCGTTCCAACACCTGGAAGGCACCGAGTTGCCTACTATCAAATCATGCTCCATTGGGTTGGGCAACTCCTTGCGGCCCGGGGGCCTTTTTTCCAGATCTGTCTTCAGTCTCCTCCCCACAACAAGTCCAAATACCTCCATTTTCCTCTGTGGTTTTTCTCAAAATGGCTGCAGGAAGTCACCATTTTGAGGACAACCTCAGAGGAAAATAGAGATGTTTGGAGTACTATAGGGTTCTGTGGTGCTTGTAGAGGTAGAGTGGGCATGGGATTTGGTGGGATTTGCATATGGCCTGCAGTACGCTCACCCCTCTGCTCTAGCATGTAATGAATTTCATGAGTTTCAGCATTTCAGATTGGGTGCCAGTCCCATTCTCCTTAGCCAGGTTGTCCGAACAACTTGCTGTGCCCCGTTGCACCCCCACATCTAGGGTCATTTTACCCTCAGCAGTGCCAGTCCCACTCACCACAAAGGTTGCCAAAGGAGTCATTGTAACTTGTTGCTGATGGTGTCCTCCACCCCTTTCTTTGCCAGGGACCCGAACAAGCCTGTGCCGCAGGACACCAAGTTCATCCACACCAAGGCCAACCGCTTCGAGGAGGTGGCCTGGTCCAAGTACAACCCCCGGGACCAGCTCTACCTGCATATCGGCCTGAAGCCCCGGGTAAGGGACCATTACCGGGCCACCAAGGTGGCCTTCTGGAAGCACCTGGTGCCCCACCTCTACAATCTCCATGACATGTTCCACTACACGTCCACCACCACCAAGGTGCCGCCGCCGGACTCCACCCAGAACTCGCACATCACCCGGCGGCCCAACGGCAAGGCCTGGAGCACCAAGCGGCCGGCCATATCCACCGCCTACACCGGAGGCGGCGAGGGCTCCCAGGAGAAATGGAACCCGGAGCAAGACGGGGCCGGCACGCTGTTGGTGGAGAACCCACGGGACTACTCCACTGAGCTGAGTGTCACCATTGCCGTGGGAGCCTCCCTCCTTTTCCTCAACGTCCTGGCCTTTGCCGCCCTCTACTACCGCAAGGACAAGCGGCGCCAGGACACCCACCGCCAGCCCAGCCCACAGCGAGGCGCTGCTGCCATCGCCACTGCAGCTAACGCTAACGACATCGGCCACGCGCCGGAGGAGGAGCGGCCCTCTCTTCAAGCCAACCAGGCGCACCACGGCGACTGCGAGGCAGTGGCCCCCCATGACGCCCTGCGCCTTGCTGCCGCCCTACCCGACTACACTCTGACGCTGCGCCGCTCGCCGGACGACATCCCACTCATGACGCCGAACACCATCACCATGATCCCCAACTCCCTGGTGGGGCTCCAGACCTTGCACCCTTACAACACCTTCGCGGCCAGCTTCAGCAGTACGGGGCTGCCCCATTCACACTCCACCACCCGGGTATAGCTCCCCCCGCGAACACAGCCCCCCCTTCCAACCCTCACCGGAGGCGGCGCGGTGAGCTGTCGGACGCCTAACAATCACCATGCGCCGTCCTCCCGGGCCTCTCACTTCCTCGCAGGAGGGGATTTCATTTGTATCAAGTGCTCTGACTCTCCCTTGAGCTGCCTCGGCGGTTGCGGGGAGCGCAGCCCCAAAAGAGGGACCCTCTTCTGCCCACCCCCACCCCCCCAAAAAGAGCCTCAAGCCACTTGAGTGCCATTCTGAACTTTGGGTCCTTCTGAGCCTCACCGGATAACGTGCAAGAGGTTAACCCAAGAGGTCTCCCCTCTTGTCTCCAGCGACCATATCGAGAGGGGACCCCATCACAGCCCCTCAAATGCCACTCGTTCCCTCCTTGCCACTCAAGACTTCTCAATCCAAGTGCCATGTGGGGAGGAGGAGGTAAAACTATGTTGCCATATCAAGGCCCATTTGCGGGGAGTATCTTTTGTGAGCCCCATCCCACCAAATGGGGGGAATATTGTTGCAGTCCGGTCCTGGGTATCCCAAAAAACCTAGTGCTGGATCCTGCGTGTCACTTGGGCTTGGTGCTGGGCCCAACAGATGCTCTCTTGGTGCCCCTCTTTCCCACCTCACGATCTTCATGTCGCAGAGAAGAAGAAGAAGAAGAAACGATTTTTCCCCCTGTCTGTCTCCATTTTTTGTTTCTTCCTTTCCAAAAGACATTTTTTTTAAAAAAGCAAAACAAAGCAGATCTTTAGTTCTTTAAACACTAACGGGAAGACGCCGTGTTTTTGTCCTTTGTAAAGATTTTAAACTAAGTGTTCTTGATATAAAAAAAAATAAAGCCAGATAGAGACACGTATGTACACACACAGACACACTCAGACAGCCCACATATACAAGACACACAAGACACAGACACACGCATCAGCCCCGTCTGCGCTGTGGGCCCCTCCACTGCGGACCTGTGCCAAACCGAGAAACCAGCAAACGTCCTCTATATAAGGGGGCAGGAGCCGCAAAGGCGACGGTCGCAACCAAGACCCTTTTGTATTTTTTATACGCCCCTCCGCCGCCATTCTGACCTGTCCGTTTGTGTCCGTCAACCCACCCCAGCAGAGGAGCGGAAACAAGCTGGATTCCTGTCCCGGCCACCCACCGTGCCACCCTCAGCTCCCTTTGCCATCTGCTGTGCCAAGTCTCCTGTAGGTTAGCCCTTCCTGCAGCACGGCCAACGGGACGCTCTCTGCCCCCTTCTCTCCCCATTCCCAGTGCCTGAGTCCCACAAAAGCCTCCTCGCTGGTGCTGTGCCTCTTTGCGCAGAGCAGCATCTCCGCGGTGGGCAACATGGGGAAACGGGCAGCTAAGGGAAGAAAAGGGGGTTGCCGTGGGGCTGGGAGCCGTTTGGAAGAGGAGGCAGTGGGGGCATTCTGCTCACGCACAAACCAGACATGGGAATTTGCTGCAAAAACAACAAGATTTGGAAGAGGGTGTTGAGATGGGTGTTGGTTGGAGGTCCAAGTGCAAATAGGACTTGATGCTGAGGGAGAGGTCAGGTGTTTGGGGCTGGGGAGTGATGGAAAAGCGGGGACAAGAGGCTCAGGAATCAAGGTCTGAGGATACAAAGGCCAGGTGGGGCCAGAAACCGATCAATGGTGAATGTGGATGTTCTGGAGAGGATCAGGAGGACTCAAGACACAAGGGCAGGTTGCAAAGGGAGGGCTGGGGAACTAGGGAAGGAAGGAAGGAAGGAAGGAAGGAAGGAAGGAAGAAGGAAGGAAGGAAGGAAGGAAGGAAGGAAGGAAGGAAGGAAGGAAGAAGGACCCTCTGCCCCCCAAATAGGGAAGAATAGATCCCAACGGATGTTGTCCAGCTCACTAGGAGGCCTCCTAGCTCTTGTCTTTGAGGGGTTCTTGCAGCGCCGGTCTCCGCTTTCCCTTCCGAGGGCGATGGGATGAGGGCAAGGCGAATGGTCCTGGCTGAGAATGTATTTAAGCTGTCCCGACTCTCACCTGAGCAGTGGAAAGGATTCCAAATAAAGTGGAAGGGGTATTTTTACCCGCCGGCTGTCCTGTTTTGGCTTCTTTGGGTCATCATGTGGGCCGGGCAAGGGAGTAATGTGGCATCGTCCTTACACCGGATCTGGGCATTTGCATCCCGACTTCCCAAGAATCCACAGACCCGAAAGTCTGTCTGTGCCGAAACAAGGCAAGAATCCATGCGTTGCCAATCTGTGCCATCGAACCTTGGCCAAAAAAGGAGAGTCTATCACCTTCTGCTGATGAAGCCAGCTCTACTGTTGCACACTTCTAACTGTTCTCAGGGAACTAGAAGTGATTCCTGCGAGAAGGAGATAGGGAGCTGTAGAGCTTTCCAAATGTTTCATGTCGATGACATATATTTGAGAAGTGCATCCTTTTGCGACACAGTAATTCAGTTTTATTAGCAAACCAGGGGCTAATCCAGGCATGGGCAAACTTGAGCCCTCCGGGTGTTTTGGACTTCAACTCCCATCATTCCTAACAGGCACAGGACCTTTCCCTCAGCCACTTAAGCCCCACTTAATCAATTTCGTATTCTGCACAGTCAACAAGGGAAGTCCCATGCGTGCCCTATAGCAGCAGTCTAGCTTCATTGCATAAGCAGCTGAAAGAGGAAAGGAAGGGTATGCGATGACATATATTTGAGAAGTGCATCCTTTTGCGACACGGTAATTCAGTTTTATTAGCAAACCAGGGGCTAATAATGTATTGATGGCATCGAATTGTGCCAATATGTAGACCGCCCTGAGTCGCCTGCGGGCTGATATGGGCGGGATATAAGTGATGTAAATAAATAAATAAATAAATAATCCAGGCATGGGCAAACTTGGGTCCTCCGGGTGTTTTGGACTTCAACTCCCATCATTCCTAACAGGCACATCATTCCTGACCTTTCCTTTTCTCCCTCAGCCACTTAAGCCCCACTTAACCAATTTCGTATTCTGCACAGTCATCAAGGGAAGTCCCATGCGTGCCCTATAGCAGCAGTCTAGCTTCATCGCTTAAGCAGCTGAAAGAGGAAAGGAAGGGGTTTGAGGCTGTAGGAATGGTGAGAGTTGAAGTCCAAAACACCTGGAGAGCCCAAGTTTGCCCATGCGTGGGCTAAACCAACCCCCTGTACAAGTTTAATATAATTTTATATTATCTTTCCTGTATGAAATTTGACCCTTCTTATGCACTATATTTGATTCTTGTGTAGTTTCCTCTCTAGCCACTCCCTGGGGTTGATCATACACGTCATTGTCAACAGGTTTTCTCGTCTTAGTTAGAAACATACTCATTTTAGTAGTCATTATTACAACCAAATCAATAATTTCTCCAAATTATCAAAGTTATAACAGTACCAACACTTGAACATTGTTAGCAGGCTGCTTCGGTAGCAATGACATATATTTGAGAAGTGCATCCTTTTGCGACACGGTAATTCAGTTTTATTAGCAAACTAGGGGCTAATCCAGGCATGGGCAAACTTGAGCCCTCCGGGTGTTTTGGACTTCAACTCCCATCATTCCTAACAGGCACAGGACCTTTCCCTCAGCCACTTAAGCCCCACTTAATCAATTTCGTATTCTGCACATTCAACAAGGGAAGCCCCATGCGTCCCCTATAGCAGCAGTCTAGCAGAAGCAGGCTGCTTCTGTAGC